CACACACACAAACTCTCAGTTCAACCAAGTCCACAAACAAAAATATAATAATTTACAATAGCGTTTTTCTTTTACTATGCATGTTGCTTAGTGGGACTTCTGGCATTCCTTGCCTTGAACAATCCTCTTCAAATCTGGCTTGTATTCTGTTGTTGCCACTCGAAGCAATTCTTTCACATGGGTGTCACTCAGAACAGATGGATGCTTTGATTTCACGTGTTTCAGGGTAGAAAACACAGACTCGCAGACGTATGTTGACCCAAACATTGACAGTATCTTAAGCGCAGCCCGTTTGACATTGGGGTATTTTTCCATTGGCACACTTTTCCAGAACTCAATGGTCCCTTCCCTTAAAGTAGGTTTCAGTTGGTCCTCCTCACAAAGATCGATCATCTCCAACTCAGCCGCAGCCTCATCTGTGACTAGCGGGGCTTTCAAACAGTCCGTCTCCGCATTAAATGGGTCGACGAGGAACGTAATCTGTGGCCTTTTCAGTTGTAGATCACGGAACCGGGTCACAAAGCTTTCGTGCAGGTTTTCAACCAGTGTTGCACATCTGGCTCTTTGCTTGTTCAGGGTGACGCTGGTGACTTGCCTGCTGGCTTTTAGCAGAGTGGGAAAATGCGTTAAATCTCCCTTTTGAATATGCGCCTTGAACAGCTTCAGTTTGTTGACAAATGCAAACACCAGGTCAGGCAGCATTTTTAACTTCCCCTGCAGGGTCAGGTTCAGTCTGTCCAAGTGACACAGCATGTCAACCATAAAGGCCAGATCCATAATCCACTTGAGGTCCAAGAGCTTGGGATAGTCCTTGTCCTTCTCTTCCATTAACAGTTTCACGGTATCCAAAAGCTCAAAGAAGCGCGAGAGTACCTGGCCTTTTGACAGCCACCTCACAGTGCAGTGCAGCGGCAGGTCACCTGGAAGCCCTTGGTCCAAATAGTTACTTGCCCCACTGTATTTGTGAATACACAGCCGTCCCTGGTAGGCTAGTGGTTAAGGCGCAGAGCTCTCGCCGCTGTGGCCCAGGTTCGAATCAGGGTTGCATCAGGAAGGGCATCCGGCGTAAAACACGTGCCAAATGTCAACATGCGAGTCGTCAGTGTGACGATTCACTGTGGCGACCCCTAAACGGGAAAAGCCAAAAGTGACTTCCTTTCTTTCTTTCTATTATATTTGTCAGTACTCTAGACTTAAAGATCAGATCACATTTTATGACAAATTCATGCAGAAAACCATGAAATTCCAAAAGGTTCACATACTTTTTCTTGCCACTGTATATTAACGAAGTATCTGTTTTTAAAACATGGTATTTAGCTAACAGTTCTAAAGGATTGTCTGATTGTACTGTAATGCATAACTTGTTTACTGTAGACCCAAGTCATTGAGGATGACCAAGCAAAGCAAGGAGGACAGGTGCTCACCACAAACATCAGAGGACAGGTTCCACCTCTGGTCACCACTGACTTTACAGTACAGGACCAAGGTAACTCATATGCTCTTCTAGGTACAGATATATGTAGTCGACATTAGTCTTTAGCAACTGTTTTTAATTCTCACTAAAACTGTAAATTTTTGCATCTATTTTGCCTGTGAATCTGTTCGTGTTGAGAATGTCAAGTTCAGTAGTTATGTTGTGTGTGGTGTTGCCTTATAAGTTATAGGCTTCTGCTCCAGAGATTGATATTTTCTTGGCGATTATTGACTATGACACAGTATATATGCAGAACTCTGCACTTCTTTCTAAGCCAGTGGCAACAGAGACGTGCTCTGTTAAAGTAGAGACCTTTGTCTTTGCCAACTCCAGGCAATGCCAGTCCCAGGTTCATACGCTGCACCACCTACTGCCTACCCTGTACTGCCGACCTGGGTAAACAGTGCCAAGTGCCGCTGGCTTCCATCATTAAACCCTTTGCCAGTTTGCCAAAGAATGAGGTAGGTCATGGTTTGCATATAACAAAAAGACAGTTGCCCCATCTAATAACACTGTATTTTAAATATATATAACACATGAAGTATGACAATAGAAGGAAGAAACTAAAGCTAAGCTGACAAAGTACGTTTTCAACTGCTTTTTAAAAGATGCTACCGATGTTGCCTGCTTTATTTCTGCTGGTCAAGTATTCCACAGTTTTGGAGCGTAGATAGAAAAGGCTGCGCTTCAGTCAATGAATAGATTCTTAGCAGATTAGCTGTGAATAAAAAGCACATTTTCCTGCTGTGTCGTCCAACTCTTGCAGGATTTGATAAATGCTAACATATGGAGAATTTATTTGTGGTGGCTGGCCTTGTACTGGGAAACATCCATCACTTGATTAGACTGTGATTCAGCACTGTGTCCAGGGTTTTGATTATTTTCTTCCCACCCTACATGTTTACATTTTAATAGATCAAACATCCTTTCAGTGCACTTGATATATTTCAATGTAGATTTTTTAAAGATACAATACAAAAATCTTAGTAAAATCATTAATTCTAGCTGTTACGGTGGTTCAGGCCTTTACCTAGATACATGGTTTGTCTATGAATTCCTACTGTGGCATTTACCTGTAGGTAGAGGTTTGGAAACGAACCACCACCAAATTTTGTTGGTCTTTGATACGTGCATCTCAGCACCATGAGAGTTTATTTGTCCTGTGAACGACCTCCCTCCTCTTGGATCATGTGTGGTCCAAGAATCCTGACCTAGATATTTTCCCCCTCCACTCATTTTGTCCCAGGCTCCAATTGGCCTTTTTAGGCAATGTTAGCTTTCTCTCATTTGGCTTTAGGCTAATTTGCTAATGTCAGCTCTGCGGGGACGCCTGAACAAGAAAGGAGTTTTATACAGAGGGAATCAAACTGGAGTGTGTGTACTCTCAGATTTGATTCTATCAAGTGCAGCATTCACACTAGATTTACAAACAATGTAAAAGAGCATGCTGTTGTGCCTGGATGTTGTTTATCATCTGAGATTTTGTTCACTAGTTAAGAGACCTAAGATGCTGTAAACACTTTTATTTTACCTTGAAGTCCTTAGTCTCATAAACCTACTTGCTGCCTTATGACAGTTGAGTTATTTGAAGCCAACATTTTCAGTTTATATTGTGTTAAAGCCTGTAAAGAGCTGGAAATAAACAGCATTAAGGCAGTCTCTGCCATCTGCAGGCCTGCATACAGTACTCGGCAACAGTGCTGTGGTATATTAAACAGCTTCAACACATTCCATGACACATAGATGTTCTGCTTAATAGGTTCAGTGTGCATTGTTCAGGTGCTGTGAAATCACTGACACTTCAGACAGAGCAGTGTTTAAATGTATGTACAGTCTGTTTATGGTCCAAGTTCTTAAACATGAGAAACCTACTAGGCTTTTCACAAAAATAAATAACTCATAATTAATACACTATATAGTAGAAGAATTAAATCAAGATCTCTTAGCTTTGAGTCATCAGCTTCCTTTTTAAGAGACACTTGCATTAATTTTAAATACAAGGGGCCTGATTTAATTTAGTGGGAGCCATTGAAAGCTTACTCACTGTGTCTTCTGTGTTCATTGCTGCACAGACTCCTCTCTACGTTGTGAGCCATGGTGACACAGGGCCCATCCGCTGCAATCGATGCAAGGCCTACATGTGTCCCTACATGCGTTTTATTGATGGTGGTCGTCGCTACCAGTGTGGTTTCTGCAGCTGTGTCAATGAAGGTACAGTATTATGAGAAAAAAGCCACTAAATAAATTAAGCATTTAATAAAGGACCTAACCCATTAACATTTGAAATCATAAAGTTATAACATATTACCATTTACACAGTCAATTCATTCAGACTCAAGAGAAAACTGTTATTATTGAATTATTGCACACATTTCTACATTCAGTGTTTGTGTCTTACTCCAGTGCCAGTCTTCTATTTTCAACATCTTGACCACATGGGCCGTAGAGTGGACTTGTATGAGAGGCCTGAACTGTCCCTGGGATCCTACGAGTTTGTGGCCACCCTGGACTATTGCAAGGTACCGGGCGACTCCTCGGGTCCTCATCTCCATGTTGTCTGCTGTTCAGTGCATTAAACCTCATCAGTAGAGACAAACACTTCAGGGATTATTTGCTAGTGCAAAGCAGAGTTTATGCAATACTGTCAGTGAAGATTTGTCACTACAAATAGCTGGGTCTCACATAAGTCTGGCTAAGATAGAACTCTGCACTTACAGGATTGCATTCCTGGTTGTATTGAAGGACCTTTAGCAGGTACCCAACATCATTCAGCACATACTGATGACATCAAAGTTGGACAGAAAGTGTTCATCTTTTTTTTGCAAACACTAAAAAGCCAGTGATGCTGATCAGCTATACAGCATGTTCCCATGGAGGCCGTGACTGTTGAGAACAACAGTAGAGGGTTGAAGTACACTGGCAAAGCTGAGTCACTCCAGTGGCCTACTTCTGCTCTGTTTATTAGGACTTATAAACAGCCTCTGTGGGCCAATTATTAAAAGCCTGCAAAGTGAGTGTCTTGTCATGGGCCCTAACTGTGGAAACATAACGGTGTCTTAGTGACAACCCACCGGGCACACATTGCTGCCATTGCTTTCCATTCAGGAATTCCTCCTTGCCACAGTTTCCTCACAGCTACCCCTGGTTATAAGCAAGTCCAAATGGAAGCATCTCTGATATTTGAGAATTTGAGAACAGAAACTTAAGATGGAAGGCATAATGATAGACCCCAGGTCATCTGTTGATCTGTGATTAAGACCCTAAATTAGAGAATACTGGAGTGAAAAGAGGGATCATCCAGTCACTAATGACCAGTCTGTTCATGAGTTTACATTTGCATAAGGAGTATGTTTTTTGTTTGGGGTTTTTTTTTTTCTCATTTCACTGTGAAATTAGGTATTTTATATTACATGCCTGTCAAGCTGCCTCTGTCTGGAAAGAATTGAAAACAGCAACAAATTTACTGCATGTGCTTCCTTATCCCACAGAACAACAAGCCTCCGAATCCTCCTGCCTACATCTTTATGATTGACGTGTCCTATAACAACATTAAAAGTGGACTGGTGAAATTGATATGTGAGGAGCTGAAGACTCTGCTGGAGAAGCTGCCCAGGTACACACAGGAAGACGCACGGCAGTGCAGTACACGCAGCGCCGGACCATGTTCTCACCCAACTCACAGTGTACCACAACCAGTTTAAAATGCAAAGCTAAATTCTTTTCATACATTTCATATCTAACTGCCTCACCAAAAAAAGGACTTCCCTCAAGTTCAAACATCAGGCCAACTATCTGCTCTCATCAGCTGAATATTCTCGCCTGAGGTTTAGCAGATGGTGGATATCAGTTAGTAAAGCAAGGCCACGCTGCCAAAAATGGAAGACATTAACGTGCTGGCTCTGATCTTGGACAAGCATCAAAAAAAGAAACAAAATTTACTGTACAGACAACCCTTGTTTTGTGGCAACAGTTGTTCTGGAAGTGAGCTAACTTACCATGAAAGAGAAGATGATTTACTTCACCTGATGATTGGAGACTTCTTCTCTCCTCTCTGCTTTGTTAGTACCAATACATCCGTGTTTGTCTGCTGCCATTCTTTAAACACGTAGAAGCTGTGTTTGGCTGTTTTACTTTTGTTTTTACAGGCACTATGCCTTTAAAGGTATAGGACACCATGCGTTCTTACATGTATATATCATGTAATACTGCAGTATTTGCCAAATGCATGTTTAATGAACTCAAGATAAAGCTAGAGCCTGGGCTAAGTAAACACAGATGGAGACCAAGACCTGAAGTGACTGCTTTAAAATCATCACTGGTGTTTTAAATTAGTGTCTGCCATGAGAAAGAACAAACTCACCAACTGCACCTGTGACTAATGTTCATAAAGGAGCTGGGGATCACAGTTAGCCACTGGTGGATGTTCTGTTCTGACACACTTCGCATGTTCCTTAGTGTGTTTGCATGGTTTAAGAAGAGAGATGTACAGTACAAACCCCAGTTGGCAGTGTCAGTAAAGAATGTCTTTAAATTAATTTGATGGTGAACTCATCTGATGAATGGATTTGGTTCCACTATAGATATGGATTTCTTTAACCTGTAGCAGTCTTTCCTTCCTTCTCTTTGAATCCTCACTCAGTAGTTTAACACAAATATTACTGGAAGGATGTTTATACTTGACTACCATGGACTGGAAATGGACCTTTAATATGTGAAACCATGCTTGAAAGTGATGTCCATCCCAAAGACAAACTAGTGTGTTTTCTTTATCATTGAAAAGTTCCAGTTTACCTTTAGCCTCAGCTCCTACACTGATTTTGACTTTTTGTTGTAGGACAGTAAAAAACCAAAAATGGTCCTGAAATGTTGGGAAAGACTGATTTAATCCACAGCACACATGCAGCTGTTGCAAATAACATTTGAGATGACTTACTAGAGCCACCCC